AGAGAGAATAGTGCAACAATGAATGAGTGGAAACCCAAAATATCTGTAAATGTTTATGAAAATTAATAAAATATAATTATAGAAAAAAAACAACAAAAAAATGAATTCTTAAAAAAAGCATAAAAAAATTAATAGAAAAAACCCTCCAAAACCCAAAACCAAAACAGCACTTACCTCTTAGCATTGTGAGGATTAAATGAGACGATCTTTGTAAAAGCCCAAGCTCAGTGTCTACACAGGGCAAGTGCTCAGTGGATGATGATATGACGGTATGTCACCTGCCCCCCATTCTTAGCGAGGCAGTGTGCTCCTCCCCCATCCTCCTCCCGCAAAGGTGAGCCTCGGCCCCACCTTCACCCCTCTGTCATGTGTCAGGCTACCCAGGATACTCACTCTACTTCCTGCAGGTAAGGGCCACCTTGGAGCAGGGCTACGAGCGTCTCCACGTCCTGAACTTGGAGGTGACACTCTCGGAGCCTGGGTTAGGATGGGATGGGGGACAGAGGCGCTCAGGGTAAAAATATGTACCATGGCTCCTCCAGTTCTGAGTGCCACTTCCAGTCATGGGAGACAGAGGAATCTGGAGCAGACAGACCTGGGATCTAATCTTAGCTCCAACTCCTAGGAGCTGAGGGGCTTGGACAAAGTATTTAACCTGTCTGTGTCTCAGTCTCCTTATCAAATGGGGATAATAATACATACTACACAGGACTTCGAAAAGGAGTATTCGGAGGTAATGAGAATAAAAACATTTAGCTCAGTGCCCAGTGTATAGCAAGGAATTAATAAATAGTAGCTATTATGATTGTTGTTATGACGGATATTTTTAATCCAAGTTAAAACAAGCCTATTCCTAAAAAAAAAAAAAACACAACACCAAACAAACAAAAAAAACCCCAACAAAAAACAAACAAACAAAAAACAAGCCTATTCCTGTTCTTGCTCTGTCCCATGTCTACTTCCTCCTTATCCTCCCAGCTCCTGGTATCCTTTCTCTTACCCTCCCCTCAACATCACCTTCTTACCCCTAAGGCAATGGCCTCCCTCTCCCCAAGAGATCTGAGTATGGGATAATGGTGGGCATAAAACAATGGTGATTAACTTTTATAAAATACAGTGTATGGGAATGAATGTATGAAATACAATGCGAATGAAGGAAAGTGTGAAACACGTGTGTATGAATTTTGTATGCAAATCAGTATAAAATAATAATAATAATACAAATAAAGATACCTGAGTGTCAAGAGTCTAATCTGTGCCTCTTCTCTCTGACTGGCATTTTCCTGCAGGTTGGAGGCTCTACCAAGAACAAATCAAACATTGTCATGAGTTCAGGAATACAGGGTTTGATGGACCCAACTTCTTTCCCTGGCTGAAAATCCTATAGCAAAACTCATAGTGAATAAGCAACATCTATAGCTGTTTAAAAGTCCCTGAGGTGCCATTCAGCAAAGCAGCAGGGGGAATATCTTTTAGGCCAAACAGAACATTTATTCAAATTCCTGATCTGCCAGTTAGAGCTGTGTGGTCACTATGCAAGACATTTTACCCATCTAAGCTTTCATTTCCCCTTTTCTGAAACGGTATATTATCTGTTCTGAAATGGAACAGTATCTATAACATGCCTCTGGAAACTCTATGTGTTTTGAGAAACGATGATAGTTATAGAAAGGCTTCAAGTCTTTTGTTCTTAGGGTAGCTATGAGTCGGCTGGACTCCATGGCAATCAACAACAACAATAACATAGTATATCTATAGCATAGATATTGTGGTTGAAGATCGAATTTATTTATGATCAAGCACCCAGCAATAGGCTCAAAGTTTAAACTTAGCAATAAGAAGTTACTATTATACAAATGGTTTCCATATATGTTGTTATTATGTACCATCAAGTCACCTGGGAACCATAGCAAGCCTATATACAACAGCTCTGAAGCCTGCCTTTTGCTGAACCAGTCTCACTAATTTTGACACACCTACCCCCACTGCCCTAGTTATGGACAATGAGACCCTATATCATCTGGGGATTTCCTTCTCCTGCACAGTCCTTCCACCCTTCCGAGCATGACGTCCTTCTCCAAAGCCATGTGCCCAAAGTACGTGAGATGAAGCTTCAAAATCCTAGTCACCAAGGAGAAATTTGGTTTCACTCTCTCCAAGACAGACCTATTTGTTTTCTTAGCAGGCCATGGTAAATTCTAAACTCTTCTCCAGTACCACCATTTGAAGGCATCAGTATATACATAAGAAATTTGTGGGTTAGGGATTAGGAGCCATATGCAGGCTGTGAGAAAGCAGAACACCTCCAGATCCCTTCCTCCTAAGCCAACAGAGGAGCAGACGCTGCAAGGAAACGAAGGTATTATGAGCTAGGGGTTCACAGACTTCCAGATTCAGTTATCAGCATGACCTGGAGTTGGTGGACCTGTTCTGTACCTGTGCTGTCCTGTCTGCAGGCTACAAGTCACCTGCTTGCTGAAAAGTGAAGCTTTTACGGAAGAAGCTCAAAGACTGTCATTAGATGTCTTCAAGTTAACTATCACTCATTGCTACCCTATGAACAACAAATTGGATCCTTGCCTCTTCTTCTCTCATCCTCAGGACCTCTGCCATACTTGAGCTTGTTGTTATAGTTACTCTCTCTTGTTGACGGTCTTCTTCTCTTTTGTTGACCTTCCACGTTTCTTTTTTTTTTAATTAATGTCAATGAACATTTACAGAGATTTTGGATTTCCATTCATTCATTGTTGCACTGTTCTCCCAGCCCAGCCCACCCCACCCTCTCCGTCCACATTTCTCAGCATGATGTCCTTTTCTATGGACTGGCCCATCTGGATGACATGACCAAAGTATGTGAGACAAAGTCTCACCATGCTAACCTTGAAGGAACACCCTAGTTGCACTTCCTGCCAGACAGATTTGTTTTGACGTCTCTTTTGAAGAGTCCATAGGATATTCAATACTCTTCATCAGCCCCACAACTCCAAGGCATCAATTCCTCTTTGGTCTTCCGTATTCTTTGTCCAACTTTCAGATGCGTAAGAAGTAACTGAAAAGATCATGGATTGGATCAGCCACACATTAGTCTTTAAACTGATATCCTTGCTCTTTAAGACTTTAAAGAGGTTCTTGACAGCAGTATTCCTCAGTGCAACACATATTTAGATTTCTTGACTGTTGCCGCCATGGGTGTTCATCGTGAATTCAAGTAAAAGGAAATCATTAGCAACTTCAATCTTCTTTCCACCTATCATGATGTTGCCTATTGGTTCAGTGATGAGGAGTTTTGTTTTCTCAATGCTGAGATGTAATTCTTATTGAAGACTGTAGTTTTTGAACGTCTTCAGTTAGTGCCTCAAGTCTTCTTCATTTTTTCCAAGCCAGGTTGTATCTTCTACAAGAAATGGGTTATTGAGTTTTCCTCTGATTCTGATGTCACCTTTTTTTTCATGTAGCCTAGCTTTTGAAGAAAAGATACTACCCTGACACACAACTTTCATGATTTCCTGATGCAGTGTCTCCTTGTTCTGTTTGGACAGCTGCTTGTTGATCTCTGCAGAGGTTTTGCATGAGCACAATCAAGTGTTCTGGGCTTTATATTCTTCCTGCTTGCTGAAACTGAGGAGGACCTGAAGCACTTGCTGCAGAAGATCAAGGACTACAGCCTCTTATATGGACTGAAGCTCAACATCAAGAAAACAAAGATTCTCACCACTGGGCCAATTGGTAGCATCAGTATGAATGGTGAAGAGATTGAGATAGTTAACAGTCTTAATTTACTTGGCTCCACAGTCAACATTCTTTGTAACAGCAGTCAGGAAATCAAGAGACAAATTGCATTGGGAAAGTCGGCTGTGAGGGACCTCTCAAGAGTACTGAAGAGCAACAATGTCAGACTGGAGACTAAGGTAAGCCTGATCCTGGCTATAGTCTTAGTAATTACGTGCTATGCATCAGAGAGTTGGACAGTGAATAGGGTTGACAGAAAGAGAATTGATGCCTTTGAGCTGTGGTGCTGGAGAAGAGTGTTGAATATACCATGGACTGCTAGGAGAACAAACAGGTTTGTCCTGGAGAGGGTGAAGCCAGAATGTTCCCTGGAGTCAAGGATTCTGAAGCTTCATCTGACATACTTTGGGTGTGTTGCAAGGAGGGACTGGTCCTTGGAGAGGGACATCATGTTTGGGAGAGTGGAGGGGCGGTGAAGGAGAGGAAGACCTTTGATGAGATGGATCGATTCTGTGACTGGAGCGGTGGGAATAAGTGCATTTGAGATGGCTAGGTTGGCACAGGATAGAAGAGTATATAGAGCTCTTGTACATAGGGTCGCTATGAGTTGCAAACGACTCGATGGCACATAACAACAACAACAACAACGTCATCTATAATTTGTTATGATTTGTACACAGTTGAAGGCCTTTGCATAATTCATAAACGTAAATAAATAGCTTTTTGGTATTCTCTGCTTTGAGCCAGGATCTATCTGATATCAGTAATGACACTCTTTGTTCCATAGCTTCTTCTAGATTCATATTGAAAGTCTGGAAGTACTCTATAGATGTACTGTTTCAGTCATTTAAAAATAATCTTCAACAAGATTTTATTTGCATGTGATATTAATGACCATTGTTATTATTTGTTGTCAAGTAGGAAGCCACCCATAGCTGACACTACGGCAGGTTTTTAGAGGCAGATAATTGTATAGGAGACTGCCCACCCTTCTCCCATAGCATCTGGTGCATACGAACCACATGCCCTCAGCATTGCAGGGCAGCCTCTAACCTATTTAACTCCCTATTAGCGAGAATGCAATTGTTATTATGTAATAACGGTATTGTTAAATTATTTCCACATTCTTTTTTTTTAGATGGGAACAAGTATGGATTTCTTTCAATCAGTTGGTTAGACAATTGTCTTTCAAATTTCTTGCTGAAATTAAAGTTAAACAATAATATGTGACTAGTGGCTGCTGTGTTGGGCACCGCAGCTTGAGACAGAGTGGAAGACAGATGGGTCCTCCTGGGCTGTTGCATAGGTGAGGGAACTGAAGCTCAGAGCCAGAAGAGGCATACGATGTGTGTCCAAATGTGTGTCCAAGTCTCAGCCAGAAAGGAGCCCGGGGAAGCAGTCAGAGAGTTCTTTCAGGGCACGATGATCGCTATATGTTTGCCTGGTCAAAAATGGCCAAGGCAAGAGCCTGGAAGTCAGGCCCAGCTGGAATCCTGCCGTGTGCTACTGAGCTAACTCTGACTCACAGTGTCTCCACCTGACAGAACAGAACTACTCCAGATTTTAAACTTTCCTGGAGCAGATGACCAGAGCTCTCTCTCCACGGAGGCACTGGTGGATCTGAAATACTCCTCTTCCGGTTAGCAGCTGAGCCCTTAACCATTGCACCGCTGGGGATCCTTGGATAGTTGGGATAACCAGAATTATACCAATTGCATGGCAACAGAGTTCTAAACATGCTGAATGTATTAATTCACTTAATCATCAGAACAACTGTAAGATGCAGTACCGTAATTCCCCCTCCTTTTTCCTTCCCTAAGAGTCTCTCTCACATAGTGATGTCAGTCTCTGTCTCTTCATAACCTCACTAAGAGGCTGGCTCATCCAGAGACTTCTGGGGATGCTTCTTGGGGTTTTTAGATCTGTCAGAAAAAGTGGACGCCCTTTGCCAATTCTGGGGAATGATTCATTCTTTACAGCAGTGTCAACAGAAAGAATACCCACACTCCTGCTCTGCTTTGGGATCTCTACACCACCCTCCCCTCAGCTGCTTGAGTTCAAACTCCATCTCAGGAGGGAGCCAGCCCCTCCCCTGCCCCTGGCTTCTTCTTACCCTTGTCGCTCAGCAGTTGTCTCTGTGTATGGGGAGAGAAAGAAGACGAGCTCCTCGTCCCTGCAAGTCAGACACCGAGCCATGAAACCCGTGGAGAAAAATGTTCCCAATTAAGCAAGCCAAGACTTGATGACTCCTGTAAGAATGCTTTGAAACTGAAGGGAAGCAATTTTTATCAGAAATGGAAGAAAATGTGAGAACACTGAGAATTTTCACTTGTATGAGTGTTTTAGGATTAAGGTAGCCATCCATTTCATAGCCCAAACAGGTAGAGTGGGTTCAGCACCATGGAGAGCAACACACGACTCTGGCATTTGCTGATTTGCTGATCTGTAGATTTGATGATTCATTTATCCATCGGCCCAGCCATCACCATTAATTTACTAGGTGCCAGGCCCAGACGAGGCTCTCGAGATAACAGTTCTGTGAGTTGGACATGCATACGTAGGTCTTACAGATAAGGTGTCTCTCTCTCACCCACCCTCTCGTCCCCTCATATCATGATCTGTTCCTTCTGCTCACCTGGCCTGCAGCATCCTGATGGTCGGGCATAGAACTGCCGTCTTTACTAAGCTGAGTAGGGTTGATACAGAGATGATGTTGTGGCTCAGGCTGCAGGGTTGTGACAAAATGTCAAGAGTTAATGAATCATCCCCCCTGTAGAGCCCAGTCTGTCCTTTTTTTTAATTTTTTATTTTATTATTTTTGTGTGAGTGTACCGTCAAATCAGATCTGACTGGTACAGGAGGAGACTGCCCCTCCTTCCCCGGCAGAGCATCTGGTGGATTCGAACCCTGCGCCTCTCAGATTGTAGTTGCACCTCCTTGCCACTAGGCCACCAGAGCTCCCCTGCCCAGTCCGTCCTTGTTCTGTAAGGGCAGATGCACAGGGTGCAGGACTAGCCCGGGGAGGGTGGAGAGCTGCTTACTTCAGTTCCTGGAGCCTCTGCAGGTGAGGGAGCACACTCATGACACTCAGCACCTCCTGGTCCTTGAGCTGGTTGTTCTGCAAACTGCAGGAAGACAGAAGACCGTGCAGAACAGATTGCAGCACTGAGGTTGGGGCACTGGGGAACCCCAGTTAGAAAGTGCCAGGCATGACTTCTCTCCAAGAGCAAACACAAGACAAGGGCTCAAAGAAGGTGGAAGACCTGCTCCCCAGCATCCAGCTAGAAAGAGTTATACTCTGTCGATCTTATTTCTATGTGGCCCAAAGGATTGAGGCTGTGAAGGCCTCGGAACGTGGAATGTGGAGATTTATGGCTGGAATGAACGCACTGTTCGCCCCTGAAGTATTCACATGGTTTCCAAACCGGGGAGCTGGAGAATCCACATCCAGCATCAGCTTTGGTCCTGATCCACTCAGAACCCAAAGTCACAGCCCTCACTAATTTCATTTACCCCATCTGTTGGGAGTTAATGACCAAGTAGCTCATTGAGAGCAGTAGCTGGGTGACAGGAGAAAAGACTGAGGTGTCTTTTGATCAGTAATGAAAGTTAAGTGCCCACAGGTTCAACGTTTCTTAACTCCTTTCTGATCAGAGTCATTGTTGCACAAAGGCACTTGGCCTGAGTGTCACAGGGGTCTGTGGTCCAGCTCTTGCTCCTCTCAATAAGGCTGCATTTGCTGATGAAGGAGCTTTGTATAAGTCCCACAGAGGCGCCACCTAAAAGAGCAGTCATTCCGCCTGTGATCTGCTGAGAAGGGTCTCTGGCTTCACTTTGCCCCAGATCACTCAGACCTGGGGCAGAGGTTCATTTGTGCCTATCTGCTTGCGTTACTATGCCAACCTCTAAATGCACATGAGATTCTAACTGTGCACACATGTATGTGCTAGATATGTGCACACCTATAAATGTGCATGTGTGAGGGGAATACCCCTGAGCAGATGAGTGTGTATTTCTGTGCAAATGCGTATCCATGTATGCCTGAATGTTAAGGCATGTGTTTCGTACATTTAAGAGGATACACAGTGCCCGACACTCCCTGACACATTGCTACACCTTCTCTTAGGGTCACAGGAAGAGAGGAGTGACATCAGAACCCATCCTCCTTTAAGATGTCCCTTAAAACATTCCATGAGAGAAGCACCCGCGTAGGATCTGAAGGAGGCCTGTGTTTGCATTCAGCCTTTTCCAGTTCTAGTGTAGACACCTCTCCTCTCTTGACCTCACGAGACAATCAGACCAGTCCAAGACGGAAGACGCAGGGTCAAGCCCGGACTCAAGGGGAGATCCGGGGCCTGAACAGTGATTCCCTCTCCCAGTCAGTGATCCGCCAGAAGGAGCTCACCTGATCTCCTCCAGCTGTGGACAGAGTGCCACAACTTGTACCAGATGGCTGAGGCCTTTGGCGGTTATCTTACTTCCTGTTAACCTGCATGACATGGAAAGACAGTGAGAAGGAATGGAGAGGGGCGTGGGGATGGGGAGGCAGGACTGTTTAGGGATCTGGCCTGTAGGGCTGTGAGGGGGGAATGCCAGACCTCCCGAGTGGGAGACCTCTCTGGGTTCCAAGCCCATGCTCACCCCAGCTTCTGCAGACCCTTCATCGTCGGCAAGGTCCTGGAGAGGGCTTCTGCAAAGGCGTCCCCACACTTCCTGCTCTTAAAACTGACACAGGAAGAGACGAGTTGTGGAGGGTCAGTCCCAGGCACGACTCACAACAGCAGAACTGAGCAGTGTCTGTCCTGACATTGTCACCCATTCCCTCCTCTGACAGATGGAAATTAATATTTTCAGTAGTTGGCATAGAACAAGGTGGTGGTGGTGGGGAATGTCCAAGAAAACAAAACCTTATCAAACAAACAAACAAACACCTCCCCAGTTTGTTGCCATTAAGTCAGCCCTTGACTCCCAGTGATACCATTTGTGACAGCATAGAACAACTCATAGTCCCATCAACAAATGAATGGATAGAGAAGCTGTGGTATATTCACACAATGGAATATTATGCAGCATTGAAAAACAAGGAACTCATGAAATATTATACAAAATGGGTGGCCCTGGAGGACATTATACTGAGTGAAAGATCTCAGTCACAAAAGGACAAATATTGCATACGGCCACTGTTGTAAAATGGGACTGACATCGGGGTTGAGGGAAGACAGAGAAGGAGGGGAGGAATGATGTAGATTGCATTGAAACAGATGAGGGAAAGAACTGTTTAAAAGGGATATATGATTGGGTATTATTGTCATGACAGGCGTCCAGAATGAAGGCTGCACAGTGGAGTGGACTTGGGGGGAGGGAGTGCATAAAAATGAAAGAGTTTTTCTTTTACTTTTCAAGGAGAAGAGTGAATTGGGGGGTAGGGGGTGGGCAGGGAGAAAAATGAAACAATGAATGATTGGAAACTCTAAGTCTTTGTAAACTTTCATTAAAATGAATAAAATTTTTTAAAAAGACCTTAAAACCCCCCCAAAAAACTGCTCCGTAGAGTTTTCTCAGTTGTAATCTTTACAGAAACATTACTGAACCTTTTTCCTGAGGCATTTCTGGGAGAGTTTGAACTGCCAACACTTACACGGGGAGTTTAGTACAAACCACACCATCCAATGAGCTACACTCACGGCAGAATAACTGTCGACCAAGAGCCATTCTGTGCTTCATCCGTACAAGCAGCACAAGAGCTGAGAACCTGGTTACTCAGTCAGTTAAGCCATTTCCTAGGCTCCTCTGAAGCTCACTGTGGCCTGTAACTACGTCCTGGCCCATGGCATGGTGGTGGAAGCCATGTGTTCTCCTTCCAGATCTGAGCTTTAATGACTGGGAAAGCATCTTACCCATTCTCTCTCTCTCCCCCATCTCCCACACCAGACCACAACAATGTCCTGCAGTAACCACATATCAGGATGTCCGAGGAGATGGCACAAGAACAGGCAGGGCCTGGGTCCCTGCTTGACCACATGAAACTGAACCCTGTTACTAACCTGGACTATGTAACCTTGAACTACTCCATCACAGCAGAAAGAAATGAGCACATTTTAAGGCCCTGTGATTTGTGGGTTTGTTATTACAGCTTCACCTTGCCCAAACTCTTACACACGTGCCAGACACTAATAATACTTGTCATGCATTGTTGTGGCTCTGGGAGGTACAATCATTTCTTCCTTTGAGAAATGAAGAAACAGGCTGAGAAACTCTGCCCCCAGGAGCACAGCCCGTGACAGAAAGCAGGTAAGCAAGAGTCTCTAACTGGACCAGAAATCCTTCTGAAGGATAGAGCTTCTTTTGTATTCCGAGGCCAGGGGAAGGGAAAGATTCTTCTGTTCAGATACTCAATATTCTTACCAGATCCCCTTCAGTAGTGTCTGCCTGACCAGTTGGCCTCCACTGTCTGAGTCACCCCCTCTCCGCCAAGCCCTTGTTTGTCCCCCCCTTTCCTCTCACCTGAGATTCTCCACCTGCCCACAGTCCAGTAGGGCCTCTGGGCAGTGAGGCTCCAGAGGGCAACCATCAAAGTCCAGGTGGATGGGGGCATCCCGGAAGCCCAGGATCTTGGCCAGAGCAGCCAGGTCAACGTAGGTCAGGGGAAAATTGTAGAAAGACAGTCTGTGGTCGAGTCTTTGAGCAGTGAGCTGGGCTAACTCTTTCTCCTCCGTCTCACACACACAATGACACAGCTTTATAACCTTTGGTCCCCTGAGCCTGCGGGCAGCCAGCTTCCCTAAGGCCTGGACGACAGCCGCCTGTCTGGCGCCCACCCAGCTCTCAGCCTGCTGTGCCAGGCGGCTGAGGAAGGGGCGACAGGTGTGGGACGCCAGGCCTGCTAAAAAGGTGGGTAGGTGATCTAAGAGGCTCAATCTAGAATTGGTCCGAAGCACCCAGTGGGAATGGAGGGTGATATAATGGGAGAGTTTTTTTCTGTCCACTTTGGGGCTGGCCAGAAGCTGCAGAGCGGCAAAGAACTCCTGGAGGCTCAGATGGGCAAAGGCATAGCCTGTCTCCTGGTGTCCAGGGCCTCTGTGGATCCAGAAGGATGTCAGGAGGTTGTGGGCAGCCCCAAAGGCCATCACAGCTGGAGGGATGTCTTTCACATAGAAGATGACTTTCCCGGATTCTAGGCCCCTCAAAGCCACCTCCCCAAGGCCCAGGAAGCAACTGTGTTGGCTGAGGGGAAGCACCATCTGCACATAGAGCTGTGTAACAGTGGGCAGGAGCGCAGCAGCCCGGCCCGAGGAGGCTTCAGGAAGCAACTGTTGGAGGCAGAGGCAGGCCACCCGGCACAGGGCAGGCACGGCACACATGCTCCCGAGGTGCCCGGATGCCCGCACTTCTGCCAGGGCCGCTGCCTGCAATGACTCGTCCCTGAAGAAGCAGCGCACGTACTCCTCCACCCTCAGCTTGTCGAAACCCCACATAAGCACCCTGACTGCATCCACGGGCAGGCAGGAGGGCAGTTTCCCTGGACGGGACGTGGCCATCACCCAGCAGCCAGGGAGAAGGGTCCCGTCACAAAGGCCGGAGAAGAGGTCGAAAGGCAGGCTTGGGGCGTCAAGGTCTTTGGGCTTCTTTCTTGTGGAGCAAGACAAGAGGGCCTCGTCCAGTCCATCAAAGATAAACAGGACACGGTGAGCATTCTCCTCCAGGTACTGGAAGACGGCATCGGCTCCTGACCTGGGGCTCAGGTGGACATCGAAGAGGAGCTGCGGCAGGGTCAGGAGATCTGTGATCAGGTTCAGCTGGCGGAACTCGAAGAGAAACACGGCCTCGAAGTGGTCCAGCTGGCCGTCGGCCCACTGCTGGCAGAGCCTGTGTGCCAGGGTGGTCTTGCCCATGCCCGCCGTCCCCAGGACCATGACGACTCTGCGGCTCTTCTCTGCCTTGGTGTTGAAGAGGTCCCAGATGTCATCGTCTGCCTTGGCAGCCCCCGTAGCAGCTTCCTCGTGCACGTCTAAGGGTGCCGTGACCCCACTCCTCTGCAGGATTGGGTTGACGTGGAAGGACAGGGGCGGTGCTGACTTGGTGGGTTCACTGTCATAGCGCTGCTGGGTGGAGGTCCTCAGAAACTGCAGGTACTGCCTGGCCAACTCTGCAGAGGGAGGGAGGGAGGTGGGATGAGGGCTGGAGCACCCCTTCATACTTCATAGTACGAGGATACTGGGGTCCCCACTGCACCTATTGGGGGCAGGGGGTAAGAGGACGCAAGAGCACAGCCAGAAGGAATTTGTCCTGCACAACCCTGAGTGGCTAACAAAACCACTAGCTCTGAAGTCATTTGAACTGGGAAGTAAAAAAGGGGAGATCCCAATGATGGTGGCTCTGTTTTGCAATAATCATTAGTATTTTACAGTTTCCAATGTGATGAGGAGGGGATGTCACTTAAGAGTGACAGACACCACTTAAGAGGAAAATCAACCTCTTACGTGATATCTGAGTAACCTGTGTGTCTCCTTCCACAGTGACAGTTCCCACGTGTCCAGGGGCACATTCAAGATGGTTACCAACCTTGTGGGCACACGTACTGACCCACTGGGTCCAGACCAAGTTGGCAAGGAGCCCTGCTGTGGCCAAGGGTGATCTCTGAATTGCTAGGTCACTGGGTGGTGGCGCTGGGGAAGGATTGAGGTCACTGCCAGGGACACTGGGTGTGGGGACACTGGATGTCGGGACACTGGGTGTGGCAGCCTGCTCTCTATAGCTGTGACTTCTCTGACCACTTATGAACATGCCGCTGGGATAACTGGATAAGAATTAGGGCTGTTCTGGACAAAGTGGTCGTGAACGAGACAATCTCCTTTATGTCCTCAGGCCTGGCCAGCCCTCAGCAGCCTGAATGTCTCCCACGGGTCCCAGAACCTCCTCCTTGGGAAATTCTCCCAGGCACTGCCATTATTTCTCACTCCACTCCAATGAGGCCCGTGAGGGCTTGGGCCTGAGACCACAGTGGTCACTACTGTGGCGCTCTCTCAACCTTGATTGTGTGGGCCTGTCACTGGGTAAGCCTGGATTACTGGGCTGTGTTCTGCTGGGGAACTTCTGGCTCCTTCGGTTAAGCCGTTTCTGTACAAGTCTCCTTCGTGATTGACTGTGGAGGTGCGGATGGGAGAGGGAAGGAAGCTTACCTACCAGACCCAGCCCTCCCCTCTGACCACCCAGGCTTCCAGGGGCTTGCCAGCAAGACACAGAGCCCACACGACCTGCATTCTGGCCCCAGAGCAGTCCAGTCCCTGAGTCCGGATACTCACCCAGCTGCTGCATCTTACACTGCTTCCTACGGGGTGAGGACCCACAGCTCTGATGGGGCCGCTTGAGGTCTGAAAAGATAGAAGAAAGAGACAGAGGGGTGAGGTCTAGAGTCTGAACATGAGGGGTGCCTAGCACCTTAGGGGCGCTCCATGCACTAAGAGGTGCCAGGCTGGCACAGGTATGCACACTGTAGGACTGGGAGAAAGTGGGCGTTAGGCCAGGCTGCACAACACACGCTTCTGTTTACAGGAAGGGGTCTCAGTGGTGGTAGGACCAGATGATGGAGACGTCGGGGGCTCTGAGTCTGGGAGTCAGGAAGTATGCTCATTGCCAGCCCCAAGCACGGAACAGCTCTTTCTTCACCAGGGAAGCATCGATCTCTACTGAGGCCTCTGCTGACATTACCAGCCAGGCTCCGAAAGGGCTCTCTGGGACCAGCCACCCTCCTCCTGTGTTGTGTGTTCCGACCACCCTCTCTCCCACCGCCATCTCTCATTTCCTCCAATGTTTTCAGGAGTTGTTATCTTGTCGCGTAGGTTTTCAGAGTCACTGGAAAGACTTGCTGGAAAATGTTAGAAAAGGAAGAAAGAAGGAAAACAAGAAAGAGGAATGAGAGAAAGGAGGGCAGGCAGGATAGGAACAGGGCCTACAGAAGAGTTTTTTTACACGGTAGACCAGGATACAACTACAGCCAGCCACAAGCAACTGTTCTAAACAAAGCCAGGAGCTCGACTCTAGCACCCTTGTATTTCCACGTGTTAACTTCTTCACTACTGGACTGCATGGAGGTCTGAGGTCCTGAGGAGGTACTGGACCCAGTCTGAGAGAATTTAGTATTTTAACAAGGGACTCTCTGGTAGAATATCAGTACCAGTTAGACCTGGCCACAAGGTAAGTGGGTGGGGTCAGAGGAAACAGCGTTAGAACGAGGGATGCTTTCCATTAAAACTCAGTGATGGGGGAGCTCTGGTGGCCTAGTGGCAGGAAGCTGCACTGCAATCCCAGAGGTGCACGTGCATGGTTCAAATCCACCAGATGCTCTGCTGGAGAAGGAGGGACAATCTCCTCCTGTACCAGTCAGATCCGATTTGACAGTACACACACACTAAAATAAAGTAAAGTCCAGTGATGTTACCACCAACAGCTACAATGAAAAAGTCATTACTTTTAAAGACATAGAGGATCTAATAACAGAATGAGGTGAGTTTTGACTATAGGGTCTACATATGTGGTTAAAGTATTCATAGGTGTTTAAAGTATTCATGGTTATAAAGTATTCACAAGGTCCCTAGGCTGAAGTGACAGGGAGTGACAACAGGCTTTCCCAAGGGAAAGGGAATTCTCAGGCAATCTGTTCATGGCTGGCAGCTGACACATTTTAAGAGTCTTCCAGGAGGAGGCAGCTTTGGCCCCTGGGAACAGGCATCAGCATCAGCCACAGCCTTGAAAGAGACCGAGGAGGAAGAGGTGGGGCCACGTGCAAACTGACTGGGGATGAGAAAGCTGGTTTGCGGGAAACGGCTGGATCCAGTCTATCCTCATCATCCTCTAGGTCTGACGGGGCACTCAGTGCTAATACTCTTCCCCGCCCCCCACCTCAGTCCCAGGGCTCACCATGGTGGGGCTGAGATCCCGGGCAACTTTCCTCAACAGCACCGAGTTCGCTGGAAAACCCTGAAAGAGAGGAGGAACACAGTGCATTATGGGAGTGCAGGGGGATCCTTTGGGATCAGCTGTAGCCTGCTGGTTAGCTTAGGGCTCAATCTGCAGTGTGGATACCGAGAGACGTTCCCTCTGTGGAGGGGAACACTGGTGAGAGCCTTGAAGGGAGGGGTGGGCAAAAATGTGTGTGCATATGCACGTGACCTCAGTGTCCTGTGTGTCCTCCACAGGGCTAAGCCAACAGAAGGTGCCCAAGAAATGCCCACTGAAGGGAATGCCTGCTCATCAGTGGAGTCAGAGGACTCTCCCAGTGATTGCATCTGATCAACCTTCAAAAAAGAAATGTCGTGGCAATGATGGGTTATTTGGGAATTTTTGGCTTCAAGCGTTAGCTGGTCCTTTCTCTTCTTGCATTCTGATTCCCAGGGCTACCAGGGTAGGGCTAGGTGGTGGAGGAGTACCCTAGGCCTTCAGATTATTCTTCTAAGGGATTTGATCTGGGAAGTGCCAGGAATCATGGAATTCAGTTCCTAGCTAAGTGGTATGCTTTTTCAAGCGGGTCTCTGAACTTCCCAGGGTCTCCCATGGCTTCCCATGACACGAGGGCTAGGATGGATGCTTTGCCCCTCTGACCCTGTCCTCACCGTCTATGTGGCCCCAGACACTCAGCAGTGGCACCTCCAGCTCCAGCGGCACCTCCAGCTCCATACACACACAGTGGATGAATGCCTCCCAGGTCTCCAAACCTCGGGCATGGAGTCTGCAGAGCTGTTGGATGACCCTCTGTTCAGGGTCCGGGGCCTTGTTGCTGGAGCCCAGGTCCATGCTGGGGAGGAAGAACTTCACCTTGGCATTGAGCCATTCTGAGTGCTTGCTGAGCAGAGTCACGAGACAGCTCCATAGGTTGCTGGTGCCCAACTGAAGACTAACGAGGTCCATGAGGAACTGGCCCTGTGGGAACACGGTAGGCAGGAGAGCAGGCGGGCAAGTGAGTTACAGAAGGGCAGGGAAAGCAGCTTACAAGACAGGTGAACTGGAGGGCAAGTGGGAGGTTAGTTAAGAACCAACGGCACATCCAAGGAGCAGAGGAGAGGCAAGTAAGTGGACCTTCCATGGAGTCTCAGTGCTTTTGTCCAGTATTGGTCCCAGGGTGAATCTGCCCTCCCCACTCACTCTTTCCTTATCTGTGCCAATGTTCTAACTCTTTGGAATAATCCAGTCCACCTTTTTTGTTTGTTTGTTGGTTTTTTATTAATAATCTTCTGAAGATACTTTACTAATTCATGTTCCCATAGTTCTATCTGTATCCGGGCAATCTCAGGACAGAGATAACTAGTCCTCCCCAAATCTGTTCCTTCTTCCTGAGCAACAGGACCCCAGAATATTCCCTGGTTACCTGGAATAAAGACTCTGTTTCTCAGCCTCCTTTTCGGTTAGATGTAGCCATGTACTAAGCATTGGCTAACGGAATGTAAGCAGAACCGTATATTCACTGCTTCTTCTTCTTGACTGGATGCTGATAGGATGAGTGGACTTGGGTAGCTATGACGGACCATGGTGTGGAAACTGGTTCTGGGGAAAGTAAAGAGTAAAGTGGTCCACCTTAGAGTCACTGTCTTTGAACTTTTATTACATAGAGGGAAAGACACTTCTATTTTATTTAAACCACTGTTGTTAGGACTTTTCTGTTAGAGTGAAATATAATCCTAGGTAATAGAAACCACTTGGAACCAGCAGCCAGAAAATTAAAAGATGAATTACATTGGGAAAGCCTGCTGTCAGAGACCTCTCCAAAGTAATGAAGAGCAATGATGTCAGTCTGGAGACTAAGGTGCGCCTGATACAGGCCATGGTCTTTACAATCACATGTTATGCATCAGAGAGCTGGACAATGACTAGGGATGATAGAAGGAGAGTCGATGCCTTTGAGTTTTGGTGCTGGAGAATAGTATTGAATCTATCATGGACTGCTAGGAGAACAAACAAGTTCGTCCTGGAGAGGGTGAAGCCAGGCTGGTCCTTGGAGACAAAGATAGCAAAGCTTCATCTCTCATCCTTTGGACATATCGCTAGACTATTTCTTGGAAAAGGACATCATGCTTATAAAGATGGAGGGTCAGTGAAGGAGAGGAAGACCCTCAACGAGATGAACTGACAGGGTAACTTCAGCAACGGGCTCTAGTGTGTCAGAGATGATGAGGATGGTACAGGACAGGGCTCAGGTTGGTATGTGTCGTACTCAACTCAATGGCACCGACAAGGACAGCAACAACTAACTCAAGGTTGGCGGTTTGAACCCACCCAGCAGCACCAAGGAAGAAATGCCTGGTGCTGTGTTTCCGTAAAGATTACAGCCAACTGAACCTCATGGAGCTCAGCTCTAGTATTTAACACAGGGGGCTGCCATCAGTCACAACTGAGTCAAAAGTAATAGGTTTGGGTGCTGGCATTGTTATCATTATTATTGATTATTAACAAGCGTTGAGGACTCTCCTTCATAGGGCCGCCATGAGTCGCCTGTGACTTGATGGCACTTAACAACAATAACATCAACACAGAGAAAGAGATCAGCTGGCCCAGTGGACAGAAAGCGATGCTACCAAGCCAAAGGTGGGTGACTTTTAATCCACGGCCCTCAGGCCTGTCTTTCATTGTCTTTGTTCTGACATTCCTCTAGGTCGTATAGCCCTGGTGTGTCCACGTACAGAGGTAACTTGTGGTTGCTGTGAGGCTGAACACTGTGACACTGATGTGTCAAATGTGTTAATGGTTGGTTACTAAATGAGGACAGTGTTTGGTGGAGCTCCCCGATTAAAACAAGCTTGGAAGCAGAAGTGGCATCCACTTCCGTAATAGCTCGCCTCCGGAAACTCTGTGAATCTGGAAAAAGGATGAGAGACACACAAGTGTTGAGGGCCCTCCTTCATAGGGTCGCGATGAGTTGCCTGCGACTCGATGGCACTTAACAACAACAGCAGCAACATTATTGCTGTTTCCTAGCACATGATAGGAGGAAAGAAAGAACGGATGGGAATGAGAATCTGGAGCTGAGAGAGAAAATTTTCTTGCTGTGGTTCTCTCAACTTTTCTCATCCTGACTGTCAAGGCTTGGGTTAAAGGATGTGTGTCCAGAAGCCCTGACAAGTGTCCTGGTTTGTCAGGTCCCATCTGCACCAGGGGTTTACCAGTTGTCCCACCTACCACATCTGGAAGAACCAGAGATAGGCTCAGAGTGTGGAGAGCTGGAAGCCCTGTCCTCACAATGCTGGCACTTCCCCGGGTCCCTCCCGGGCTGCGGTAGGAAGAAAGGAGGGCAAATAAAAGGGCCTGAGGGAAAGACTGAACATGGCTGTGAGACCTGAAATGACAAGACCATAGCAGGCTAACTTCAGACTCAGAAGGGACGTGGTTGGTGTGGATCATAAGAAAGGTATTCCAGGCCTGACAGCAGCCATTAATGTGTGGACCCAAATATAGCTTGTGTGTCATCATGAGGCCGGACACGATGCCACTGGTATTTCAAATATCAGCAGCGTCAGTTGTGACGGACTGGTTTCATCAGTGCTTCCAGAGAAAATACAGATAAAGAAAGGCCTGGAAATCTATGTCTGAAAATTACCCAGTGAATCACAAAATTAGCTGAAGGAACACAACAGAACACTGTCCTAGGTAATCCTGGAAGACAGGACTAAGAGTCCCACACAATGGCTCCAACCATGGGCTCAAACAAGCCAGTGAGGAGGATGATGGTGCGGGACCAGGTAGCACTTCCTTCTGTTAAATGTAAGGCCCCTCAGAGTCAAAGTTGGCTTGGTTACAACTAACAACACCCCCAAGAAAAGAGAGAAGATTGGATCAGGGCCTGGGGACATTAGAAACCCTTTTCCAGAGACCCTATTCGGGGTTAAGCTGATCAAAACAGGAGCTGCCTGGGCTAAAAGAACATAATATAAAGAATGTAACCTAGGGAGCTCTGGTGGCCTAGTGGCAAGAAGCTGCACTGTAAACCCAGAGCTGTGTGGTTCAAATCTACCCGATGTTCTGTTGGAGAAGGAGGGGCAATCTCCTACTGTACCAGTCAGATCTGATTTGACGGCACACACACCACAAGAAATAGTGAAAGGAAAAAAAAAAATTTTTTTAAAAAAGAATGTAATCTGGGAAAAAGAAAACTCTGCCCTAGGCAAGAAAAAAAAAACAAAAAGCCACAACAAAACAACCCAACACCTCAAAACACCCTGTTTTATAAATGTGTAGGAGTGGCATCCACTTCCATAAATAGCTTGCCTGTGGAAACTTTATGAACCTGGAGAAAGGATGAAAGTCACACAAGTGTCGAGGACTTTCGTTCATAGGGCCGCTATGAGTCGCCTACAACACGACGACACTTAACAACAACAACATATGTGGATGTGCAAAATCTTGATTCTCTTGCAGACAATGTCTTCTGATAAAAATGTGGTTATGGCAACAGGAAAAGTCAGCAAATAAGAAACAGTAAAACACATCTCGGCAGCCAGTGAACATAGTTTACTGCTTATATAATGAGAAACTTCTTAAAAGCTGTGAGAACGTAGTTTGGAAAGCCACTCAGTCATGAATTCCTCTTTCCTTACCTCTGGATTAACTAAGTCTTGATTAGTTCATTCTGTCACTCAGCACCTTCCTACTGGTCTGAGAAGTGCAACAACTCTATGTCCATTCAGGATCCGCCAGGCTCAGCCCAGTTGGGGTCATGACAGAGCACGGAGACCTCTGGCCTCTCCCCAGGTGACATGGTTACCGCTGGAGGTGTAAGAGGATGCCTGTGACGGAGCCAGGGGCTGTTGGCTGTGGGGTCCGTATCAACCCCATTTTCCAGATGAGGAAGCCAAGCTGCAGTCCTGAGAGGGAAGTCCCTTGCTGACACTCATAGCAAATAAGCCAAGTTGGCTCCTGACTCAAATCCAGCAAGGCCTCTCTCTCCTACTGACTGGGGCCAGGAATCTGGGCCCCAGTTTAAATTTTAGGGATGAAGAATAAATGGTTGCTAACATCTCCCTGAAATTGGCAAAGTAGGTACAAGGGGTCTCTGGCACTGCACATTTCTGGGGCAGTGGTGACATGGGGGTGATCGTTTGCTTTGCAAACAATAGCAGGGGCCTGCAGGACTTGGGATCACTTATCACCTCATTTGCATAGCAAATGAGGAAACTGAGCCAGCTGTCACCCAGGGAGAGTGGAAAAGCCAGGAAGAGAAGCACTATAGGATCTCAGGAAGATACCTGAGAGGGAGAGCCCAGTGGATACGGCAGGTGGCTCCAAATCATAGCAAATAAGCCAAGGTGGCCCCTGATTCAAATCCAGCAAGATCTCTCTCTGTCCTCCTGACTGGGGATTGGAATCTGGGCCCTAGTTCAAATTCCGATATGTTAAGCTGCTCCCTTCATTCTAACAGCTTCTCTGATCAAAAGACTCAGCCTCCCTACCAAAAGGCCCCCCAAGATCATCAGATGGGGGATGGAAGTTGCCCCAGCTACGAGCCCCATCTTGGCTTGGCTGGTAGCTCATGGGATCAATGGCCCTGCCTCTCAGGCTCAGCCCTCGTGTTCTGGGCCCAGGACCGACAGGATGTGGCTGTTGGTTGGAAAGGCCTCCCTGAGAAGGTTCTGGAACACCATTTCAGGGTTTCCAGGGTCTTTCCCTGGATTCTTCAGGCCAATGGCCCCAGATAGTACAACCAACAGGGAATTTCTAAAAACTCCAGCTAGTTGCACATCACGTCAATAAGGCACTGTCCGTAGAGATGGAACACGCCTCAGGAGTCGTAGGAGCTCCTAGGTGCTCCTGATGGGACGTTTAGCAGAAGCAGGAGTGCTGGGTCCTAAGGAGAGTTCTCCAACCCTGACAGACAGAGTCCCCTGAACTTGTCATCCTGCCTCTATAACAAACTGGAGCCT